AAATTTTTTTAAAAAAAAAAAAAAAAAAAAAGAATGCTGTCGAGCTGAGTCTTTCCATTCCCTTCCTTGTGTAAAATTAAATGTTGAGATTTAAACTGTATTACAGTTCAAGTTCATTTTGTTGGTTTCAGTCTATCTTCCAACCTTTTAAAGATTGCTTTGCTTGATTCTATCATCTACATCATCTGCAAATCTAATAAGCACGTACCTCTGTATTATTATATAAATCACTGACAAAAATGTTAAGACCTGGAACATGGAATGAAATCACAGTGCAACCATTTTCATGATAGAACACAGGACTCATTCTGTGTTAGGAAGTTTAGAACAGGAAGCTGATCTTTCCAAAGTAAAATGGTTTGGGGCAAAATTTCATTAGAAGACATTTTACTGTGTCCAAGTAATTATTTCATCTTCCATCATTTATTCAGGATGAATCAACTAATTTAATTTGATCGCACAAAATACAAATGCTGGAAGCAGGAAAAGAGGTGACAGAAAAGTATCCCATACTGCAAAGTTGCTTTCAGGCATACTGGTTACACAAGCAAATGAACATACACTTTAAAACAAAAGGCATTTCATAACTAATAAATACCCAAAATATACCTTCATGACAAGCTGTTACCACAATCCTGACCCACAATCATAAGAATCATTCATATCATCACCAACACATTTCAGTACGACTGACAATTTATATCTTTAAAATATAATAAGGGAAAATACCAGAATTGGAACTCCAAATGTTTTAATAGTCCATGACAAAAAAGAAGACCGCCTAAATCTTCAAGCAAATCTGCCAAAAGAAAAAAAGTAAATAAATATTAATTTGGGCAAGAGGACATCCCTTAAATTCAGCAACCATCTATGGCTCTCCACAACTATTCAATACTCACAGAGGCAATGAGTTTATTAATACACTACCTTTGGTGATACAGTAACTCTTGCACATCAGTAAAGAGTATTCAAGAACAGGGAATTTGGGACAGGAAAGAAGCCCCAGAGCAAGTGACTAAAAAGGTTAACTTTGCTCTTCTTTAAAACCAGGGCTGTTCTCCAAATGTTAAAAATCAGGTTTGCGATAGAGTCTAAGAAAGAACCTCATCAAGGAAAAAAAAAAAAAAAAATCCCATTATTACTCAAATAGCCAGGCAGGTATAACATTTTATCTGGGGGGAAAGAAAAAAAAGAATCGAATGTTGTTTACAAGTCTGTATTAACTTTCCCAGGCAATTTTCACTATTTGTCCCAAAGGACACCTGGCATCTCGTACTGATTGGTATCAAAATCAGGCCCATGACTGCACCTAAGAGAAGGATGTACAAGTTTCCATGACAAAATGTGTGTACACAGGTCAAATTTTAGTTAGGGCAGTACTGATCATTTATACTCCAAAGGCAAAAAAGAAATTTAAAACAGCATTGTGAATAACTGCATATTGATCTTCTACAAAACAGCCAAGCAACTTAGACCCTCCTTCCCCTCCCGCAGCCACAGACACACACACCGCTCCTCAATTTAATCTCAAAATTAGCTCTCATCTGACACCAACCAACCGAGTTAATTAGGCAGAAGCAGATGTAACTCAGCAGCTCTTTGCTACAAGCAGAATCAGTGTTTTTTAACATACAGCTAGGAGAGGAGCAAAATCAGAAGTCTCTGTAGCCAATTCTCGACTAAACACATGTATATTATCCACTTTGTATATTACCCACTAGAAATTTCTTAATCTTAGGCTGGTTTGTTTCTGACTCCGCTGGCCCACTGTAAATTGGTATACCCTAAGAGAATAGATTGAAAACCAGTTTAATTTTAGTCTAAGCAGTATCTAACTAGAAAGACAAATCTACAGGAAAGAAAATGCATAATTCATTCAAAAGCCAAACAGAAATGCTTTCTTTCCTCCTGATCTGGAATTATCCACACCACTTCTCTTTTTCAGAGCACTAGGATTTGTTTCATATGTAGACAGGATATTCTATCAGTGCAACCCTAAAAATCATTATTATTCTCTTTTGTTTTTTTTTTTCTATAAAAGCTTGAATGTTGGGCTAAAAGGCTATCAATAAGGGAGTGAATCATTCCAAATTAATTCTGGGGGCTCATGCTATATCAAATTAAATTATTCTATTTTCTGAGGTTTTGAATCACTTTATTTTTAACTACAAAATAGTATCAGTAAATTATATGGTTGTATCATACAGTCATATAATAAAACACTATTTGCATCACTCATTACAAACTATTCTAAACAGATCTAGAGAAATGCTTAGTCCAACACACTGTGCTTTTGGCTTCATTGGTATTACATAAAAATCAACATTGTTCAGAAATATTCATGTCAGCATAAGAAGAGTCAAAATACCCTGGATCATAAATATTATGTGAAGCTTCCTTCAAGCTTTTACTAAAGCTATGTGTTGTTTCAAAAATCAATGTCATAACACTGGAGTCATGAGATTATGGATGAGCCAAAAACAGTGGTAGAAAAAATAAAGATTAATAATAGAGTTTACTCCTTTGTCATCCCGAGTTTTACTTGCTAACAGTTATTTTTAGTTCTCATTTTTATATGCTCCTGGATTTTTTCACAGCCTATTATGTAACTGAGTAAGGATCCACAAATCTTAACAGTATCTTCTGAAATGGAACAAAACACTGCTTAAGGAACCGGACATTAACTTCTTTTCTTCTATAATCATCCAGTACAGACTACTGGCAGAGTTGCTCAAAATAGCATCCTCAGTCAACAAATATCTGCTGTCTGACAACATCAATCATCATCCATATGGTGATATTTGTTAACTTTCAAGTCCTGGATGCATCTATTTTCCCTAAAATTACTGCTTGAAGCCCAAAACATGGGAATTAGGAGGTAAGGTTATAAATACTAATCAAAGCCCAGCTGGCATGGCTCAGTGGTTGAGCACTAGCCTAGGATCCAGGAGATCGGGGTTCGATTCCCAGTCAGGGCACATGCCCAGGTTGCAGGATCGATCCCCAGTCGGGGGCGTGCAGGAGGCAGCTGATCAATGACTCTCTCATCAGATGTTTCTATCTCTCTCTCTCCCTCTCCCTTCCTCTCTCTGAAATCAACAAAGACATATTTTAAAAATAAATAAATACTAATCAAAGAACAACCAACAAATACTTATGGAGGTGTTGTTCTGGGAGTGCCATCCTACTGGAGGTGCTATGGGGATAAAAAGCAATTAAGCACTATTTGGTGGCTCCTCAAAAAGTTAAACATATGAGTACCGTATCACCCCACAATTCCACTTCTAGGTATATACCCCAAACAAATGAAAACAAGTACTCAAATAAGTAAATATATACACATTCATGACAGCACTATTCACAACAGCCAAAAATTCAAAACAGCCCAAATGCCCACCAACACAAGGATGGATCAACAAAATGTGGTATCTATTCATACACTGAAATATTATTCAGTTGTAAAAAGGAATGACCACCCTGGCCAGTGTGGCTCAGTTGGTTGAGTGCTGTCCTGTATACCGAAAGGTCACCAGTTCAATTCCTGGTCAGGGCACATACCCAGGTTTCAGGTTTGATCCCCAGGCAACCGATTGATGGTCCTCTCTCACATCAATGTTTCTCTCCTCCCCCCTTCCTCTCTCCCTAAAAATCAATAAAAATATTTTTCAAATAAATAAATAAAAAAGAAAAGAACATGTTGTGAAAGCCAGACACAAAAGGTTCATATAATTCTATTTATATGACACATCCAGAATAGATAAATCCATAAACAGAACATGGATTGGTGGGGCCTGTGGTGGGGGTGGTATTTTGAATTGATGAAAATATTTTGGGCCCTAGCCAGTTTGGCCTAGTAATTAGAGCATCGACCCACAGACTAAGGGTCCCGGGTTCGATTCCAGCCAAGGGCACATACCTAGGTTGCAGCTGCAGGCTCAATCCCTGGCCCCACTTGGGGCACGTGTAGGAGGCAACCAATCAACATGTCTCGATCACACTGTTGTTTCTCTCTCTCTCTCTCTGTCTCTCTCTCTTCCTCTCTCCCCCTTCCACTCTCTCTGAAAAGCAGTGGAAAAAATGTCCTCAGGTAAGTATTAAAAAAAAGAGAAAATGTTTTGGAACTACAGAGGCGGTGGTCACATAACAATGTGAATATACTATTTTTTATTTGTTTATTTATGTTTGTTAATCCTCACCAGAGGATATTTTTTCCATTGGTTTTTAGAGAGAGTATGAAGGAGGGATGGAAAGGAGGAGGGAAGGAGAGAGGGAGAGGGAAACATCAATGTGAGAAAGACACATTGATTGGTTGCTTTCCACACGTGCCCCAACTGGGACTGGGGCCAGGGACCGAACCTGCAACCCAGGTATGTGCCCTTGACTGGGAATTGAACCCACAACCTTCGGTGGGTAGGCCGATGCTCTAACCACTGAGTACACCAGCCAGGGCTCGACTATAATATTCTTAAGAACAGGATTCATGTTTGATTCATCTTTGTATGTCCCAAGATTTCCGAGGACCACACTTGAACATAAGGGGGGTTCGGTTCCTACTTGTTAAATGAATGCATCAGTGAATGAATGAAGGGAATGTAGAAAGCACAGAAGCTGAGAATGAGCTGTCAGACAAAGTGACGTGAGTCCATGTGCATGCCTAGAGAGGGTATGTGTTAAAGAGCAATAAGAAATAAAGTTGGCTGTGACAAAAGCTAGGCTGAGGCATGTGAACATGACAGATGAAGGGGAAGCCACTGCAAGAGTAGTGACACTGTAAGACATAGTGGAGTGCACACGTGCATTGTTGAATGTTTGAATCACTCGGAATAGTATCCGTCCAGTATAGGTTGAAGGCAAGGATGACTGAAGGAACAAACAAAAGCAACCAGTATTTCATTTCTCCAAACATCAATCTGGTTCAACTTCTATTTATAAGTCTAACTCAGCAGCAAGCCGAGAGTAGGCACTCAATAAATGTTAGTTGAATTGAATATTTAATTCCCCATCTTTTTAGAATAATACTAAATTCTTTCTCACTAACATAAGAGTTTTTAATTCTTAAGCTAATAATGTTTTCCAAGGATTTCTTAGACGCTAAATCACCATGAAAATTATCATTTTAACTAATACATATTACATTAATTGGAAGTTTAATTTTTCATGTCATGCTCTCCTAGTTGACAATATCCTTGTTATGTCATTAAACTATAATTGTGTAAATCTGCTTCAACAAACAATAACTGAACTATCAATAAACTATTATGGCTTCCATAATCCCTAGCAAAGATTAGTTTCAACATCATCATCATCAATTAGTACAGACATGTCCCAAATCTCCTGGTGAAGCCCATGAATTAGGTTTGCATAGTCACCCCTGCATTTAAGTGCTCAATAGTTTCAGTCTCTAAACTTTAATCACACTGCTAAAAACCTCACAAGAAATTTGATCCCTTGTAAAACAGAGGATTTTAGAGACAAGATGAAAAGTCATTTGAAGTCATCAGGCCTTCGGAGCCAGGATACACTGATTAGTAATGATGATACAACCAAGCACTTTCACTTAAGAAATAATCAACTAAATTTAAAGTGTCTTTTTTGGCCTTTAAAAAACTTCTATTCAATCCTAGATTTCCTCCTGATTACAAATTAGCTTCAGCCATGTTTTAATGACAAGGACTGAGAACATATTAAGAAAAAAATCTGACATCTAAATTTGTAAAAAATTATCTTGAAAACACAGATCATTTAATTTTATCACAGGTGTCTTCAAACAGGATATCCAGTATAGCCTGGAAACAAAGTAAGGTTCCCCTCTGAGAATCTCAAGAAAATTAAAGATCTACTTTTTAAAATGAATACATGTACATACAGACATTTGCATACAATTTCAAGGGCTTTCAGACCTTGATTGCCCATTCAAGGACCCCTTAAGGTCCACTGTCTAATCTGACTTTACCTATTTTAAATTTAATTTTTTATACATAGAGAGGTCAGTAATTTTATCCAGTTTCACAATAATTATCTCTATGTGCTTTAATTAGGATGATGTTAAAAGTAAAGTTATTCTCATAGTTTTTGGATATTATCAAAAGGCTTCTGAAATTTTATTCAACAAGGAGGTGTGCTATGATGGGATGTATCTAGAGAGTTCGAAGATCGAGTCCTCACTTTGCTAGCTACCTAAGCTAAGGGATATTGGACATGTTACTTAATCAATCTAAGTCTCAGTTTTCTCATCTGTTTTTGCAGAACTGTAAAGAGGAATACTTGAGATAACAAATATGAAAGAACCAAGGATGGTGACAGACACATAGCAGGAACACAATAAAATGCTAGCTCATAAAAGGAAAACGGGCAATGCAGTCAGCTGGAGACCTGTAAAATCTAATCTGCCTGAGCCTGTCTATAGGACCACTTTCTCCTAAGAGACAAGAGAAGTCAGCACCTGGCTCTTAGTTATAGTTGCAGAGAAGTAAAACGTCAAGAGAGAAAAGAGGAGAAAGTGAGGAAAAATAAAAATAGACTTTTAAAGCTGAGGATGGTGTCAAGAAGAGTGTATTTTACTCATAATCACACATCACTTAAGGTCAATAAAACTTTTAGAAGATATAATAATATAGAATATCTACTTGACCTGAGGGTAGGAAAAGAGTCTTAAAACAAGATACAAAAAGCACTAACCATAAAGAAAAGACCAATAAATTTGACTCCATTAAAATTAAGAACTTCGGTTCATTTAAAGACACCATAAAGAGTAAAAAGGCGAACCACAGAATGGAAGAAGGCATTTTGCAACATACACACATGACAAGGGTTTGATTCCAGAGTAAACAAAGAATTAAAAAAAAAAAAAAGGGACAGGCTTGAAGAGGAACTTTACAGTGAAGAAATCCAAACCGCCAACAAGTATATGAAAGCTGTTCAGCCTGATTATTAATCAGGTAAATGTAAAACTTACCAGATCACCCAATTTGAAAAGCTAACAAGACAGAGTTGCAGAGGATAAGAGGCAATGGGAACTCTCAAATATCACTGGAAGGAGCGTAACCTGGTACAATACTTTGGAAAACAGTTGGACTGGCACCTAGTCAAGCTGAAGAAAAGCATAACCCCATGAGACTAGGGAGACCATACAACTTATCCAAATCCAGCTATTTTTGAGAATTAAGGGTGTTATATTAATGATTACACTGGGACAACAGGTATAAGCCATGATAAATGGTCACCCTGCCTATGAACCAGCAATTCCATTTCTAGGTGTACACCTTAGAGAAACATGTACACATGTGCACCAGATGACGGGTCCGGGAACACTCATAGCAGCTTTGTTCACAATTTTCCCAGAGGAGAAACAACTCAAACATCTAGCAACAGTGGAAAGGAAAATACAAAAATTGTGGAGAATTGTGGGAGTCCTGTAAAAAGGTGCTTAAAGGTGCTTTGGAAATGCAAATTAAAGCATTATAGGGAAGAAATAGCCCTTCATCACACTTCTCCCATCCATGTATCATTTACTATTCTGCAAGCAAAGAAATGGTCACTACAGCTCAGACATCCCTACTTTCATAAAACGATTTCCTCTTCTCTCACTTAATACAAATAACAGGCATCTGTATACAGGAAAACTATACATATTTTGCAGGGAACTACAAAAGAGACTGAAAAGTCACCTGTTAGGAATCCTGGCATTTAACAAAACCAAATCAGTTAGTTAAATCATCTCACTGATATATGAAAGTTTCTGAAGTACATTAAAATTATTTATCAGACTTCCTGAACTACCTTCCAATAGTCACCCTGTTCTGCTTTCCTTCTCATTATGCCTTACATCTGACAGTTTCAACCTTATCTTCACAAGTAGTGCGTGAGAGAAACATTTGGTATAACGGCAATGACACAACATCCACCCACTCAGAGGCCTGGGTATGGCTGGCAGGCAAAACTTCTACAGACCATGTCACTACCACCAGCCAGTTATTCCCCTAAGTTCCTCTTTTAATGTTAAAACGCTCTTTCTATCTTTTCTTTCTTTTTTTTTTAAACCATCATTTCACCTCCACAACTTTCAACCCTAAGTAGAAGACCTCAGGTAAGAATCTTATCCTTTACTGAAACATGCAATGTTAATTTTTCTTCTCAAAAACATAAAAAGACTGTTCCAACCCATTTTGATACATGTGTGAAGAACTTATGAATAGCAAAATAACAGCGTATTTTATTTCAGGGCTATCCCAGAAAATCTAGGGTACACAAGTAAAACAGGTACAATGTACTTTACTCATAGTCATACCAAAAACCAACCAACCAACCACACAACACAGCACACCCTTTTTTCTTTAGCACCCCAGAACTAAGTCTATCCCAACATAACTAATACCCATATGCTATACTTCCACATCCTGTCCATACAAAGAGTCTTCATATACTCTTTACCTTGAATTTTCTGGTACCTTCACCCCAAACATACTTGGTTCATTGGTTTCTTTGGCATAGCCCAACATCTTCTCCCAACTGCAGGGTTTAAACTCCTTCATGAGGATTTGTAGCCCCTCCTCTGCCTTTGCCCCCCGTGTCCCACCACTCCTTGCGCTCTGCCCATACCAAAGTCTTCCTGACTGGGACACCCTGCTCTCCTTTCTCCTGCCCCACCTTCAAGACTCCAGCTCAAGTTTCACCCAAGAAATCTAGCCCATCAAACAGCCCTGTCTCCCAAACTAACATCTTTCTTTGCCCCATCCTCACTCCTGATGAGGTCCACCAAATCACATTCCCCCAGACCTAGCACCCAGCCACACCTATCTTTTATTTTTATTGATCAAAATATTACAATGTCCCTTTTTCTCCCCATTGACCCCTTCCTCCTTGTCCCACCCCCTTGCCAGTCCCTCACCATACCCCCCACCCATCTTTCTTCACACCTCTGCCTCTTCCCACCCTTCTGATTCTCCCATCCCCATGAGATTTTCTGCCACAGGTATATTTTACAAGTTCTAAGTAGCCTCCCTTCACATTTATGTCAGCTCTGCTGTCTTATCTTTCTGAGAGTTTTTTTAATCCTTCATATACCCCTAAACTAGCAAACCTTTCTATTCCAACAGGCCGATGCACTCAATCAATACCAGTACCTCCTTCCCACCACAGCCAACTGTACTTGCTCTTCGCACTCCCCTAATACTTCTTTCCTCCAATCCAATACCTATTCTGCACTGCTTTCTCAACTCTACTCCACATCCACCACACCCAAACCCACTCTTACTGTGGCCCCAGATCATTGCAATCTCACCCTTCTGCATCACTTCACCCGCCCTCATGCCCTTCGGTCGCCCCTCCCCATCTCCAATATTGCATCTCTCCCTCCTCTCTCTCCTGCACCTGTCTGCACACCTCCAGTTTCCCCTCCCATCCACGCCCTCGCCACACACTAGCGCCCCCCTCCGTTCCTACCAAGTCACTCCCACTCAGAAAACCCCTCCAAGCCCCCGCCTTCGGACCACCGAGCCCCACCCCAACTCCGACATCGCCC